TTTTCGTGAAATTTTTCTAATTTATGAGAAAAAAAGCAGTGTACATGGATATAGTAAAGAGTGTGCGCAATGCCATTTTTGTGTAATTCTGGGATGTTTTTTTAAGTAAAAATAAGTCGACGTGTACATGGTTTATGTGTATGTGTTATGTTATTTTGAAAAAAAAACGCGTAAGGAGTATGGTATTGCGCACTTTTTCCCAATTTTGCAGTGAATATTTGTCATGATTAAGCAGTTTTGTTAGATAAAAATTTCTAGCATAAGTTGTAATTCGGCTAGTAGATTGTTGGAAGAAGTGTTCAGTAGATAAAAAGAAAAGAAACATGTCTTTACTTTGTGAAGACAAAATGGCGGCAAGAAAAAAAAAAAATAGAGGGTTGCTGTAGGAGAGTTGGTCACCAAATTTTTGCGAAGTTACCATAATCTAAAGATCAACCATTTACTCTGATGCTTCCATTCAGTCATGTTTAGCCTTTTTCATATAAATTATTATAATAAAAAAGTATTATATGAAATTAACCTTTCATCTAAATTACAACATCAATCTTAGATAGTTATTTATTATTATACGTCCTTTCTTGCTGCAATTCTTTTTGGCATCAACCATAATTTGGCGATTTTTTATGGCCCTCGAAACAGAATAGTACCGATTATGGTAAGTGCATTTTATTTTGTAGAATGTTATGTTCATTGTTTTTTTACTACGAATTTCTATTGTTATTGTTGTTTTTTGAATTATTTGTAATTTATTTTAGTTATTTTGTTGATTTGTCCACAATACCTAGATTGTGCAATTCGTAGATGTTAAGTTTAAACAGAATGCTGTGTACATGGTATTCTTTGAAATTTATTGTTATGTTAATTTATTAAAGCGAGGTGTGCGTAGTTTGTAGATTCCTTCACTGGCTAGATTGTGCAATTCGTAGATTTTTTTAAAGTTAAAACATATCGCTGTGTACATCGATTCTTGTCAAATCTTTTTGGTTAGAAACTTTATGGTTTTGCTATCTAAATTTTTTGGTTTTGTTTCGGATTTTTAGCTTAAGTTGTGTGTTCAAAACTTGCTTTTTGGAGACATTTCAGGCTTAAAGTTCGAAACGTAGACAAAAAATTTAAATAGTAATATGGCACGTGGAGTTTCTTGCCAAAAATGCTTGGCGAGAAATTTGTCGCCGCATTTGGCGACCTGAGGGCACATATAAGAGTAGTTCCAACTAAATTAATGAACCATATTATTAATATGCATGTTTATTGCTTTTAAATTACTCAGTTTGTTAAACAAGTCATGATTATAATTTGAAAATTTAAAGATTTGATGCTTTAGGGATAGGCCCCATCTCTGAAACTAAGGTAGTCTATGAGAGTGATAAATTGAGGGAGTTTATGTTGTTTGAAAGCCTGTCAAATTATCTGCCAGTGTAGATGATAAGCAGCATAGTACAGCATAATGCAGCATAATGCAACATAAACAATGGAAAGACTAAGCTACAGATGGATTTGGTGGTGGGCTACAGCTAGTTTGACAAGATTGCTTTTTAAATTGAATTTTAAGATTAAACTCTGTGAACTTTAAAATTATTTTTAGTTCTGTGGTTGATAAAATTGAATTAATATTTATTTAGGCAACTTGGTGTTTTCCAGAACTTAATTTTATGGTACAAGCAGCAAATTAATTCTTAAAATGTTGACTCGCCCAACTGGATGTACTTGATTAGGAAATTTAAAAACCTTCCTGTTATAGCTAATTTATAGACAGTATAACAAAACAGCAGCACAGTTATTATCAACATGATTTTCAATGAACATGCTTGGAACTTGTAATAAGCTATAGCATCAGCATATTGATATAACAAAAATATCTTTTTATTTTTTCCTCTTGAAAATATAAATACAGTTGATGATAATTAATAACAGGTTCATGTTTCTTTTCTTCCCATGAATAGTAAAAATCAGATACTTCAGCATTGTCGCAACCACCCTGATACAATCTCTCGATTTTTTTTTTTTTTTTTTTTAATAGAATGGTAATTTCAAATCGGAGAAAGTTATTTATTTCATATCATTCATGTTATTAAGGCACATATTTTAATTTTAGTTCAATATTTATCTCGAAGAAAAATTTATAAAACTAGCTACAAATCTGTTTTTGTTTCTTTTCTTGCGGTGGAAATTTCATAGCAATCACTTTAAGAATAGATTCAAAGCAGTGGGAAATCACTTGTTAATTCTTACTCCAACAGTTTATAAATCTAGTTTCTGTAATCTCAGACGACTATTCTTGAACCAATTACCGCTTAAAATGCTGACATGTTTGTTACAGTTTTTTTCACACTGCATTTCCAAAATACCCGAGTTCCAATTCAAACCGGAGAAAATCATGATGAGATTATGTTGTAGGCAGAGACTTTGAGAGCTTTGATGATGAGGAATAATTTTTATGTAGAATGTTGTGTTATAAGGCCCAGGCATAGGTTTAAACTGGGGTGACTGTTAGGAAATGTCTAACCTAGCTTTATCCTTGATATTTGCCTAAAATGGGATAAGGTCCAAAATTTTTGGTACCTACGGAAAATTCCATCGATCACAAATTGGCAAGAATCCCACCAAACATAGATTAGTCATTGCAGCTGCTAAAAATTTCTAATTGTATTCGAGATCGCAACAAATGCATTCTCTTCTTTGTGAAACCGACAAAAATTCAAATCCAATATGAATCTAAGTGATAGTATGCAGTTCCCTGCTGTTTTTTGTTACAGCCTTTGGCTGAATTCCAGAGCCATTCTATCTTTTCGGTATTCTGTATAACCTTGAGATGTTCCAGCCTTTCAGCTATTTATTCATTGGTTTTTATAACTCTTCCAAGAGTATGAATAAATTACAGATTGTTCTCCAATATTTTCTTTTGCAGCCCGAAAAAGGACAGTCACCACTTATCGAAAATGCTTATGATAAAACGTATTCCTTGCAGATTCCTCCACACACCCAATGCTCAGGCAGCATTCTGCGTACTTAGTTCTTCTGTCTTGCTTAAACGGGCTTTTACTGATTTCAACCATGAGGTTAAGATTACCATTTTCTTTCTTTGATCTTGGCAAAAGGCTGTGAGTACAAACAATTTTCAGATAATTGCTCCAATTTATAACTACCTCGTCACTAAATCAAATTTTTTCCTTTCCCTATTCAATGGTCATTAATTCTTAGCTCCAGCAATAATGAAACAGTAAAACTCTCAAACCATGCATTTTTCTGAAGAGACACTCGCACCATTGATTGTCTGATTTCAAGTAGAGTGCCGTATGATGCCCATAAATACACTTTTTAGATGCTGTTCAATTCCACACTTTTGAAAATATTCTACTGCATTCTGATCTGCAGTGGTCAGCTCCCAAATTTTAATAATTTTTCCCAAATGCATGGAGAAAAAATCAGCATATGAGCAGAAAAACACAGCTAATAATACTTTTGTTTACAGAAAAATATTATACTAAACCAAGTGCTTTTAAAGGCAGGCTTTCCCATTAATGACTAAAAATTTGTTTTTTTGATAGGCTGTATTTTCCAAGTTTACATATAATAATATCACTCTGATAAAGCAGCTGCAAGCATTTTCAATGGCAATGTAGATAACAACAAATCCCATTTGACAAGTTTTGAGTGAAAAAGAATCTCAGTGAGTCTAACACAGAATCAAGTGGTGTTAAGAAACAAAAGAAAGTTAAAAGATGCTTCAGAAACGGTATTAGTTACCCGACATTTTTATAGTAGCATCTTCCTCATCACTTTCTTTTTTTACATTCTCTCCCCTCCCCATTATAAAACAAAATTTTCACTCAATTTTATTACATTAGTTTCGCATTTGTCTTGCATTTAATGATTTAGATTAGATTATAATTTTTTGTTGTTTAGGAACATATTAATCAGTTTAGACTTAATTCCTATCAGGAAAACAGTTTTGATTTATTAAAATTTCTGAAGACAAATTGCCTTCAGAAATGAATATGTTCTTGAACAGATAATTCACTGTATTTTCAAATAACTTGAAAAGGCTTAATTTCAGTAGGTCCTAATATTTGGACATCATCAGTGTATCACAGTAAATAGCTCTAGTAATATTATTAGAGATGTTTATTGTGTCAAGCAAACTTTTTAGATTTTTAATTTCATTTTTATTACTTGTTCAGCATTTAAAACTGATAAACGGCAGTGTGTGCAAATTGGACCTGCTTCTTTAATACTAACAGAACTAATCTATCACGCACTTATAGAGAAACACGACTAAAATTCCAACATTTAAACATGCAGTTGAAACAGTTATATTTATTTACATATTCAGTCAAATTAATAAAAACATTAAATATTGTCTACTGGGAAATGAAATCCAATTACGTCTCTTTCCGGTATTTTACCTGTAATGGCAGTTATAAAGGTTTACTTTGCTTATAAATCTTATATTATTAGGACTTCAATGCTATTGTTATGTTGTACAATTTGACTGCAACAAGCATATCTTAGTTGCACTTTTATAGAAATAAGTTTATATTTATTGTACAATCATACTTCACATATACAGCCTAATTAAAAAAAATCTACCCAAAATATGTACAACAAATGCAAGTCAGTGCATTATCAGCTGGTGTCAATGGAGAAACAATGGAGGAAAAAATCTGCAGCTTCCATGATAGAAATAAAACTACGGTGTTTATACGTAGTTTAAATAGCCAATAAGGGAAAATCATCAATATTGATGGAAAAATTTAAGTTGACATTAAATCATGATTAAATTTTTCACTCACCAGTCTCCATTGTTATTTTACAATCCAATTTCACAAGCAAAATATTTAATACAAAATGAAACCGAAATAGAGAATTTGCAGGGGATTGATAGCAGATCACGTGTAGAGATCATCGATCGCAACAGTACACTTGGCACTGTTGGGCTAAGATTGTAGAATAATAATTATATTTTTGCAATAAAAATTAGTGTTTTTCAATGAACTTACCTTGAACACTTCTCTCTGATTACGTTTGGAGAAATATTGCCACAGCTGACGTTAAGATATTCAGCATCCCTAAGGCAAAAATTCATAAAAGTCACCGGGCCGGTTCACGTTCTTTACAAGACATTGGAGAATTTTCAAAAAAGAAATACAGCAAAATTATATTTAAGGCAGTTTTATTACTTCTTCTTCCGGCATAATCAGAACCAGATTTCACAATGCCCAGTGCCCGATTAATCAGGATTTCTAAAATAGAAGCTATATGTACGTTGAAGTAATACGTACAATTTTAAGTAATATATGCGGCAAGAATTCTACTCCAGATTGCTGAATTGTATTTGCAAGCTGAGAACATAAAAACCGTTATTAAGAGCCGTCAACGGGAAAGATCTGTTGCTGAACCATCACACACACATCGTATTTTATTCTCGAGTGTCAAGATGTAGAAACATTTTTGAAGTTACTCAAGGCCAACTTACACTGGGCCTTCGGCCTTTAAAGAAATTATGTTTTAATTCTGGTTTCACCAACAGATGGCGCCACTTGCTTATTCTTGTCCAGGCTCTATTATCTTATCTAATCATTATTTCTTATCTTGTTCATTTGCGGTTTTGCAGCTGAGGATGGTGGTTCGGTAAAACCATCGAAACTAGTCCTGTGAAAATTTTGAAAATACGAGTATAACGCTGATTTTTGTTGTTTGACTTCGGAATTAGTATTTATTCGGCGTGTTATTGTGTCTTAATCACCAGTGTTAGTTATAGGCTTTATGAAACCTGAGGAGAAGAAACTGGAAGACTTGTTATGAACATTTTCTGATTTATTTTCTAACAAATCTGATTTATCTCAAATTCTTCAGCATGAAATTGAATTAAAGAATAACAGCCCTTGTAAAGCAAAACCATACAGGTATTGCAAGGTGAAGGAGGAGACAATTGAACAGCATATTCAGGACATGTTTAAAAATAAAATAATTATTCCTATCAGCAGTCCGTATGCTAGTCCGGTAGTGTTATGTGGAAAAAAGAATGATTTGCCTCCTACGAATTTCAAAGCTTGGCGATTTGCTATTGATTATAGAAAGCTAAATAGTTTAACCAAATACCTGGTCTATCCACTGAAGATTTTATTATCGAAGAAATTATATAAGGAAGATAACTGATCAACTGAATTTATGATCTGAACTGAACTGGACCTCTCAATAACGCCCTGAACCTGCAGACCACTACACCACGAAGGCTTGCTAAGAAGGCGGGAGAAATACCTTATATACTCCCTCTTTTAAAGTGCGACTGGAGTGTTTAGGGGACCCAATCGCCAAATCCTGGGTTAGGAAAATCATCATCCAACACTCTTTTAGTTCGGGCGTCACTGTAGAGATATTACGTATTTTTGGAAGCCGGAGAAATGAAAAATTTGCAACCCTTCACCGAGAATCGAACCGCGGACCTTTCAATTACGCGCTGAGCGTGCAGACCACTACACCATGAAGGCTCGATAAGAAGGCGGGAGAAATACGTTATAACCTAATCTCAGAAGGCAAATTTTGACAGAAACTCGGAGCTGTTATCAAACTGTTTCAGGATGTCAAATGTATGGTTTTCAGGTTCTCGTCTGGGTCAAATTCTTGTAAAACTTGCACTTTGTAACCATACAAACGTAATCATTATACATGATAGTATAATATCAATCCATATCGTGTTGGCTCTCAGTGAAACAATTTCTTATCAACTTAATCATTCCGAGTTCATCTGACATTCAGCATTTATAGCAACATAATGGTTTTATTACAAACCCCTATCGATGAAGATTGTTCCTTCCAAATCTCGATGGTGTTAGTGTCGAAGGATCCTTATGAAACACACAGAGTAAATTTCGTTGCAGTTGCAGAACTTCTTTAGTTTCTGCGAGTCACCAAAAAGCTCGTGAATTCTATGCCAATGTCATTTTTGTTCGAGCGAAACTAATGAGGCCACTGCTTGTCATACATGTTTGAAAATTAGCTGCACTTAACCCACAAATGCACAAACATATCTGCTTTTGTAAAACAATGTTAACAAAAAGATCGGTAGATTGAAGTATAACAACTATTTATAGACTGTTAGTTTTACCAGATACCCTGTGTTTTTATTACTAGAACTACAAACGTAAGAAATTTTCTTTCATTTTATCACATGACTTCGTGGTGTAATTGGAGGCCCATCTTGCTAGCAATTGGAAAGTCCGGATATCGAATCCTGGCAAGGGCCTTTTTCATATTTCTTGTTTCGAAATAAACTTGATGACTGTATAAGTGGAATACGAACTAATATATGGCGCTTTTCAAATCTATTTTCGACTTGGGTTGAGTCCCGTTCTTCCATTCCCCCTTTAAGTGGGGGAGTAAAAAATTTAAATTTGTAAAAATTTTTGTAAACTTGTAAACATTTTTCTCCTCCTTCACCGATATATATATATATAGTCAAAAGTCTTTAATCCGGACTCGTCGGGACTTCGGCGATTCCGGATTATCGGTTTTTCCGGATTATAGATCATCAGTTTAAATCTGGTAAGATGGCATGCAGAAATTATAAAATTAAAAATATGAAACCGTAATTTATGAACTAAAGAGCAATTGTGATCTAAAAGGGTATCAAAATTTACAAAAAAGCTTTATATTTATTTATTTACTTTATTAAACATTTCTTTCAACGCGCGCATGCGTAAAGCATACATTAGTCGAAATTAGAAAATTGCAACCAGAAAACTATTTGATGTGTATTCGGGGTATTTATAATGACGAGGAATTTTATTTAAATTATATCAGAGTATATCGAGATGAAATACTACATTTAGTAAGGAATTATAAACCGAATAAAATATAAAAACCTGCCCTGAAGATAAGGATAGTGCTGAGAGATCAACTTTCAACTCATTGCGCGCTGCGACGTTTGCCCCCCCCCCACAGAGCAGCGTGAAATTCATAAACAGATTTCGGAATGGTTAGAAAAACAAAGGATATGCCTTTATCCATTTTTTGCAGCAATTCCACTTTTTGTTTGATGGACATCGAAACACGCTTTCGCTTTGTAGATCTTTTGGTAGCTCCAGAATCGGAAATTCTTTTTTGATATAATCGAAAGTTCCAACTTACTTTTATAAAATTGCTCTAACAGTTTGCAAAAAATAATAAGCCGGATCCAATTCGAAGATTAAGGAAAAGCGCAATCTGCAACATTAACTGAAATAGATGATTAGATAATTTTAGCTTAGCTTATACCGTCCGGTATACATTAAACGCGCATGCGTAAAGGTATTATGTGCATGCGCTAACGCATTATGCGTTGACGCATGCGTAGAAAGTTCGTAGCTTTGAAGTCCGGATTATAGATCATTCCGAATTATGGACTTCCGGATTAAAGACTTTTGACTGTATATATGCAATAATAAAAGCACAAGGAATAGCCGGAGCAGTGTCGATGTGTGCTTAGATCCTTATTGAAGAATTTTCATTGCGTAGTATGCTAACAATGCTAACTTGGTAATATCTAAAGAACTTGGCAGTCGAGGCAGTTTTAATTCCGTTTATTGCAATTGATATTTGTGGCCAAACACGGCTCCAGTCGTGCCTTTCGACAGAAGATTTCATTTTTGATATTGTTGAAAGGAGAGCTGGGCGAATACACCTTAGCCGTAGAGAGTAAACAAATATGAGTAACTCTAATAAATCAGACTGGATCGCAGTTAAAGTAATAAACAGAGGAGCGTTCTTCCACACAACATTTATTCACGAACACCAAAGACGAACTGATACATATACATAATTGACATCACAGTTTCTTTTTACAAACAAACACTACCGCCATCTATTGGCGATCTATGGATACACAATCCTAAACTTAACACTCCCCCCCCCCCATGCATCCGTAACGGATGCATCAATTTTACTGAACTTCAAGATTATAAAGTCTTTCAATTGGTCTTCTAACAACACCCTTATCCAACTGAATCTCACAAGATCTAATTCTATCATCTCTTCCATGAAATAATTCCTTAATCCTACCTATCTTCCAGTTACAGCGTTTCACATTATCTTCTCGTACAAGTACAACATCATTAATTTTAAACACGGGAGAATTCTTTGGAGTTTTTGAAAACATGACTGATCTTAATTCTAACAAATATTCTTTATAAAACCTTTTCCAAAAATGCTCTAATATTAATTGCCTATGCTTCCATCTTTTAATCAACTGAGATCTTGTAGATTCTAGTTTAGATTCAGGTGAAGGTAAAACAGTCAATCTAGATCCAGTTATAAAATGAGATGGTGAAAGAGGATCAGGTTCATTTGGTTCATTGTATACATACGTTATAGGTCTAGAATTAATAACAGCTTCAACTTCAACTAAAACAGTATACAGTTCTTCATAATATAAAGAAGCTTTACCTAAGATACGTTTTAAACAAGTTTTTACAGATCTTACCAAACGTTCCCAGAATCCGCCCCACCAAGGAGCACCTTCTACAATAAATTTCCATTCAAACCCATTTTTACCAAGGAAATTTAGAACCTTTTCATCTTTACATAATTTATACAAATATTTTAATTCACGATCAGCAGTCTTAAAGGTTTTAGCATTATCAGAATATAAAACTCTACAAATACCCCTACGTGCAAAAAATCTACGTAAGGCTTGAATGAAACACTCTGCACTTAAATTTGATAACAATTCTAAATGGACTCCTCGAGTCACTGCACAGGTAAACAATGAAATGAAATATACACTTTTGTACCATCCTTTAAATACAAAGGGCCAGCGAAATCTATGCCACTTACCTCAAATGGTTGAGCTTTCTCCACTCGGTCAGCTGGAAGAGGAGCCGATATCTCGTGTCCAGCTTTAGCATTATATTTTTTACAAAATCTACAATCATGTAACACAGATTTTACAAAACGTCTAGCTTTTAAAATCCAAAATTTCCCTCTTACTTGCACTAAAGTTTCATTTACACCACTATGAAGTACCTTTTCATGACAATTCAAAATAATTAAACGAGAAAAATAATTATTTGGTAATATTATAGGCTGAATTTCATCGACATCTAATGATGATTTCACTAATCTACTTCCAACTCTTAAACAACCCTTTTCATCCATTACTGGATTTAACCCAAACAATTTGGAATTATGAGACAATGGTTTTTTACATTTAACATCATTCAACTCTTCAAAAAAATACTCACCTTGTGATAAGATAATCCAATAACACATAGCATTACATATTTCATTTTTGGTCACA